GAATGCAAAATCAATCTGCCTGAATCCAAACCTGAGCTACTACAATCTTAAACCTGTAGGATGAGTGTCTGCTAGATGCAGGGCATTCTGGAATCTAGAACCATGGTTCTCAACCCTATCATCATGTTAGATTAAGCTGATGCCTGAACTCATCCAAGACCTGTCTCCAAAGACAGCACTTCATCACCTTTAATTTTTAAAGCCTCATAGGTGATTCTGATATAAGTTAGGATTCTAACCAGAGCCTCAGTGATTGCAAAGTACTAAATTCTATATCCCAAGAGGTTCCAAAAGGGATTCTTTGCATAGCTCTTCATTATCATTACCAAGTAACTAAGACCTAATCTGACCTCCCATCAGGGTAAGAGAGACCTTTTAGCTGCAACTGTAAAAGCTCCTCAATAAACTACCTTAAAATAAAACACTATAAATAAACTTTTCCCTCGTAGCTTCCAGTCCTTCAGGTGACCTCACTTGAACCTCCCACCTGAAGACTCACTCTGCCTTGGCTCTGGTATCAATCCTGTTCTTGGTCAAACACGATTTAATTTGGTAACTCCTATGACTCAACATCAAGATACTAATAGCAGCAATCATTTATTGAGTGTTTGCAATGTGCCAGGCACAGTAGTAAGTGTTTTATACATGTCAAGTCATTTAATTCTCACTCTGACCCTATGAGGTCAGATAATGCTCTGATAATACTCATTTTACAGGAGAAGCAGCTGACTCTTTGAGAAGTTAAGTAACTTGCCCTAGGCCCCCCAGCTAACCAGCAGAGCCTGCATTTTCTCCCTGTTCTGCCTCCCAGGGCCTGAATGCTGATCACTCCCACTACTCCTCTGCATCTCCACATGCATGTGCCAGAGCTTCCTCAACTCAGGATGAACACTCTTCCCTCACCACAATTCCCTCCTTCCGCTGCCCTCCCCCAGCTAATGTCATCTCACACCTATCAGATCAGTTACAAACCTATGAATCATCCTTCATACCCCCTCATCCATGGCAACTAGTTGGTCCCTACGTCCTCTGGATGTGACCCTCCAGTGATGCTCAAATCCTCCTCACCATGCCCACTGTCTTCTTTCAGATCCACATTTGGTTTTCCATTTGTTGTTTTTAGATTATTTTAGTTATACCTCTAAGCAGTTTCACTGATTTCAAATCCAAATCCTACTCTTGGTTCTAGACTCTCTTTTGGTGAAAGATAGCACACAGAGGCTTAAAATCCTTTAGTGATTCCATGAGCCCCATATGATAAAACACGGATTCCTTAGCAAGTCTTCTTCACAAGGCTTCAAAGTACTTCTTCAAAGCCATTGCCTACTACTCCCTGGTCCCTTTCCTATACCTCATGAACAGTATATGCTTTTCTCCAAATGTCATAAATTGGGGGCCCTCAGCTGAATCTGGTCTGAAGACATATTGCACCATGTTGATTCACTCAGTTCACATTGTACATAGCATTTGTGATGTGTGTTTGTGTGTGTTAACTCAACATTCAAAGAATTGGGAAAGTTCATGTAAAACTCCAGGCGTGTTATTTCTCTTGGAAAATTATTTCAAGAATTTGATCATTTAATACCCCTTGTTGTGCCTCCAACCCAACTCACCTCACACATTTAAGGTATCTGCCTGATCTTGGAGGCATTGGAGTTTGTGACCTCTGCTCTGTGCCATTTTAAGTTCTCTAAATGTACCATTTATCTCCATGTTTTTGTAACTTTGTTCATGTTTGTTTAGATTATAGTACCCTTGTTCATACTTCGTAAAATATTCCATGTCTCTTAAGGTCCAGATACAGGCTCACCTTTTTTCTGAAGTCTTTCCAATAAAATTAATAACCTTTTGCTCAGTAGTCCCATAAAACTCTATTTATATTTCTAATATAGAACCCTCCAAACTATTGAAGGCAATTGCATGTATTTCCCATCTTGGTTAGGTTGGGAAAATCTTGAAAGGAGGTTTGATTTTGTTCAGATTTATAATCTCTCTGACATTGTCTCTCATCATGACTTGCCCATGTAGGCACTTCATGAATAATGAAGAAAGTAAATTCAGTTAGAGTAAGAGCATCTTTTTTTCTGTCAGTTGATGTCTTTTCATGATCACTTCTCTGAAACAAAACAATTAAAGGACTTATTTATTTCTACAGATCTCTACGTCTCTTTAGTAAGATTATATAGCTAGTTATGAAGGTTGTTTCCACCTGAGTTCTCCATGTCTCATGCAGAGAACAGTTTAAATGCAGCCTCTCCCTCTCTGATATTATTCATCAAGTAATGTCTATATTTTTTTCAAAACAATTTCACACTCCTAACAAATTTCTTGGGTGATAGTAAGTTCATTAATCAGGTCTGCATCTTCACCTATGGTTTAAAATCTCATGGCTTCATTAAAAACCCAAAACCCACTGCCATCGAGGCAACTCCAACTCTTAGAGACTCTACAGGATGAAGAAGAACTGCCCCATAGGGTTTCCAGAAGTGACTGCTTCCTTCACCTTTCACCCATAAAGCAGCTGGTGGTTCTCAGCCAAATATCTTAACCATTGCACCACCAGAGCTCCCCCATGGCTTCATAAGAAACTCAACTGTAAAATACTTATTTCACAATATCTTTTTCCCTGAAACTTTATTTTCACCTCTTTGACACTTTATTTTCAACATAAAAGAATACCAGATTTCTATGAACTTGACTCTAGGTTGAGAAAGAGAACATAGCATAACCAAAAGATGCAGCAACAAACAAACCCACTACCATCGTGTCCATTCCAACTCATACCAACGCTCTTTGGGTTTCCAAGGCTGGAAATCTTTAGAAAAGCAGATTGCTTCATCTTCCTCCCATGGAACAGCTGGTGGGTTTGAACCACCAACCTTTTGGTTAGCAGCCAAGTGCTTTATCCACTAGGCCACCAAAGCTCCTAAGAGATGCACACTAGGTAGCATACAGACATTGCCTTAGGGAAGGAAGGCTGAAAATGGGCCTGAGGAGGAAAAGGATTCTATGATGTCTCTGTGCAAATATGAATGAATGAAGGATCGCAGTTGCCTCCAGGGTCAAATCCCAGAAGGAATGGTCACATTCCTGCAGGAGTTGCCTCTGTTCTTTGCTGAGACCATCAGCTGATAGCTGCATACCCTAGGCAGCTGGTACCTATTAATAGGTGAAAGGCTATTAACACTTTGCTGTTTTCATTTCTTCTCCCCACACTGTATTTGAATGGCAAGTACAGGCAAGAAAGCAGAAAAATCCCTTCGAAAATGATAAATTAGCCTGTTCCTGGGCTAACCTTATGGGCGACTCTGAGGAACTCCATTCCTTCCAAAGCCCTTCCAGGTGGGATGAGGGGAATCAGACAGGATCCAAACCGTCTACCATCTGAAGGAATGCCAGAAATTTCAGACTCAGATTCAATTCTTTCTTTGTAATAGTTTTCTTTCCTTGTGATCCAATTTCCTCTTAATTAATCAAGAGGGATTTTGCCTGTGCTGTTGTCCCTCATTTAACATTATCAGATGCTGCTGAACTCTGAAAACACATCTGACAGATGCTAGATAAAGAATTACTTTAAATAATTCTTTATTTAATAAAGATTTAATAAAGAATCATTTCCCAAACTCTTTTAATCCTAGGAGGTAAAGCTAACACAACACTTTTTTTTTTTCCAAAATAAATATCTCACCATCAGAAGTAATTAAGTTCATATATATATATATATATATATATATATATAACTATATACCCTTAGACAGTAGTTTTCAACCAGTACGGTTAACTGCATGTCAATATTGGAGGAAAAAGTAAGAGTTTCAAAGACTAGCGAAATATTTTCTTTTTAAAAATTCTCTTGTTTGTCTTACTTTTAAGAAGTTATTCAGTGCTGAGACTCTGTGCACCAAACATTTTTATCTGGCTTAGTACATTTTATAGATGTTTTCGTTTGTTTTATGTCTAAATGACCTATCTTTGAAAATGTTTTTACACAATATTTTATTTCAGGCTTTTTCTCAAGGGTTGAAAGGGTAGGTTTGTCTCCATGAAACCAAAGGTGTGCTAAGTAAAGTTTGTCATTAAAAACTTCCAATTTATTTTGCTTTTAAAGAAATGCTCTTTTTACAATTTTTTTGAAATACGTATTGTAATAATAATCTCTAAAATTCAATGTGTATGCAGCTTTTTTAATTTAATTTTTTTTTAATGATTGGACCAGAATTTTATCATCTGCTTGTGTATTGATGTGGGTTATCAATAAAATAAGTCAAACCTGGAACTAGAAAACAAGTATCTAACTATCTGGGCTCTTCACTTTTCTTGGCCTCCATTTTCTCATCTGGAAAGTGAGGGTTGGATGAGATGACTTCTAAGATCTACTTCTAATGGAGTTGAAGACAAAAGAAAAGGGCTACTTAGGCTCTCTGATAACTGGAATGGAAGATAACATTTTGTAGTGGCAAAAACACAGGCTTTGGAATCGAACAGGTCAGGTTTGAATCTCAGATCTTATTAGCTGAGGAAGTTAGATTTTATTTTACTCATCTATAAGATGAGGCTAATTAAGATCTGTATTGAGTGCTGTTGACATTTAATGAGAACAAGCCTATAATGTTCCTAGTACAATTTGTGCACATGCTGTATGTTCCTATAAATGGTAGGAACACATTTTAAGGTCAAGAAAAACTTAAGGCTGAGCACATGATCAGGTCTAGTAATTTCTACTCTGGCACTTGGAGATAGAAGGCAGTGAACATGTCACTGTCCTTTACCAGCAGAGATGTCCCTCAGCCATGAAGAAACTGGAGCCATCAGGGTTTAAAAAAAGAACATTGTCAGAGTGAAGGCACCACATCTTGGCAAGAGACACTTAACATAGTTTCCATGTCACCAAGCTCTCTCTCCCACTCGACACCCTGCTTCTATTTAAATCTCATGCACTTCACTGGACTACACTCATTTCAGCTAGGGCCCAGGCTACCAGCAGAGAAGAGAAGGTTAGCATGGCTCCAGGAGTGAAGGAAAGGGAGGAAGGGCCAGCCAAGAGTGCCCTCCGGAAGGTACACACAGCCACCCTGGTCATCAGCTTGGCCCGAGGTTGGCAGCAGTGGGCAAATGAGAACACCACCAAGCAGGCTCGGGAGCCTACAGGCTGGCTGCCTGGAGGGACCCAGGACCCACCCCAACTTCCTAAACTGGTGATACATCCCACTCCCCTCCAGAAAGATCAGAGTATCCTAAAGTCTCCACCCCAAGAGCCCGAAGGAAATGGAGATGGACAAAGCCCAGACAGAGTCTCTGAGGTCTCCCACATCAAAAGGAAAGAGGTGACCAAAACAGTCGTCAGCAAAGCTTATGAACGAGGAGGGGATGTGAGCCACCTCAGCCACAGGTACGAGGACGGGAACTTGCCTGAATCTGCGCGGCCAGAAGATGACATTGACAGACTCCTCCATGGCCATGGCTCTCCGACTCGGAGGAGGAAGTGTGGCAGCCTGGTGTCTGAGCTGACCAGAGGCTGGAAAGAGATGGAACAGGAAGAACCCAAGTGGAGAAGCGACAGCATAGACACCGAGGACAGCGGCTATGGAGGGGAGACAGAGGAGCGGCCTGAGCAGGAAGAACAGGTGACTGCAGTCAGAATCAAGCGCCCCCTGCCCTCCCAGTAAGTGAATGCACCCTTCTGCTCCTTATTCCCACCTGATGTTGGTCCATTCTGACTCATGACGAACCCATGTGTCTCAGAGGAGAACTGTGCTCTGAGGCTTTCCGGTGGTTCATCTTTGGAAAGTACATCCCTGGGCCCTTCTTCCGAGGCCCCTCTGGGCGAGCGTGAAACTCCACCTTTCAGTCAGTAGCTGAACGTGTTAACCATTTGCAGCACCCGGGGACTATTATTTAACCCCAAAGAGTTT